TTTTTTATATTTTGAACCAGAAAAAAATGGGCTGTGCATTTGTTGCTTTTTCAATGTTCTTTTTGCTTTAATAAAGCTGAAAATCACCATTAACTTCGTGCGTAGAATTTTTGACTAAAAAATGTCGCCATTGGCATTGTTGTTCTCGTTGTATGTGCCTTTATTTTAATATAATACAACACTGTAATATGCACTTATACTTGAAACCCCGTAGTATGTACTACATAAACTTTTAAAATTAAACAAGTTTCACAACATCATCTTATATATAGTTTGAAGGCATGTGCACTTGTCACCTTCAAAACTTCTTTCTTTCAGTCATTTGATATTTATATTTAAGCTAAAAATCGCCAATGTCAATAATGAACTGTTTAATAAAACTTTTTACTGATAGATGCCATACAAAAAAGGATTTTCGTCTTTTTTCGAGATTGAAAAAGCAGCAGTTTAAAGTAATGAAAAAGGCTAAAAGTACGAAACGAAAACTAAGCAACAATCTAGAAAAGGCCAGAAAGGTATAAAATACTATATTAAATCATACCTAAAATAAATAGTCTGTGTTTAAATTTTGACCAAACAATGGACTGTAAACTACCTTCTGTATGTAATCCCACATCAGTTGCTTCCATGAGTTCCATCTCTCGAGTAAAATGCTTTCCAATCATAGATATATCTATTCATAATCGAACAGCTATAAACAACTCTTGAAATGTTTTATTCTTTTGTGAAATGTTTCGAAAAATGTTGAATTTTTGTTTAAATGAGCCCGCAAGATCTGCAGCTGGCCGCATCACGGATGGCGCGCGTAAAACATTAGGCGTTTCCAGTCCCTGTCTTCTGGATTGTCTATGGTTCGACAGGAAAGAGGGCGTGGGGGTTCGGTGGCGCAGTCGTCAGAGCAAGCGCCTCACCTCTGAGCCCAGTGGGTTTGATTCTCGATACGGACTCATGTGAAAAGAGTCAGTCAACACTCTGCCGAAAGTCGTGGGTTTTCTCCGGGTGCTCCGGTTTCTTCCCACAGGGAAAGTTGACAGGGTGGGTTAGGATAAACACAGTCAAGAAAGTAATATCACAATTTTTGTAAAAATTGAATAATCAAGTATGTAATTAGGTAAGCGTATAATACTTGATGTAAAGCGTATTTGATCATACCCACATGTAGATTTGCGCTATAGAAATGCTAATCGTAATCGTAATAAAGCAAAATGCCCTTCCGGAAAGTACTTAGCTATTGAACCTCGTTTCCGTGTTTGAGACAATAGGGAGTTTAAGATTCACGTTTGCGGAAACGGCAAGGCCGACTTTTCTTGGCATAATTTCTGTTCGATTTCTGCGTGTCATATTTTCTTTCATATGACACAGGAATAGTTAAACATTCTAGTTATAAAACAACGCTTCCATTTACTTTTTATTGCTTTATAGCGTGAAATTTTTCTTTGCCTGACGTTTGTCGTTTGTCGTTGAACGCGAAGCTTATAAGCTCTCTGTTGGCTTAAGAGCCCTTTATCTTGTTACTGATTACAAAATTATTAACCGGTCTATATTCACTGATGTATAGGCTACTGTATCGTTTCGCACATGTGTCACCTGGGCTAAGGGCTAATATCTCGAAAACGAGGCTCGTAAATCAAGGACGACTAACTCACTGACAGCTTTTTGGTCCTCGGTCAGGAATGAAATCCGAAACCATGTACGAGTGCATGTATAAGTATATAAAGTTAGTATGTAAAATAGAATTTCTTTACTGGAAATGGTATGTAAAATAGAAAAATAAAAATAGCTGTAATTTCAACTAATTTAAACAAATTACCGAGGGAAAAATTCATTACCACAACCGTCGAGGAAAAAATTGATCCACGCTCACTCAATTTTCTTTTTTGAAAGACATTGATGATATGAACGGCCCCTCAAAAGCCAGGTGAATTTTCAGCAAAAGAAAATAGTCTAAATCGGTCCTCCTTCCAATAATTCCGGGTCACCAAAATTCTTTAGGCCGCGTCCGATCGCCCATCCGCCCCTGGCCTGGAAATCAACTTTTGTGAATACTGACGACAAGTACTTACCGTAACATGAATGGGAAGAACATAATACTAAGGGATATGTATGAAACATTCTTTGCTTTATAGGAGGGCCCCACTGACGCATTCTTCCTTAAAGGAACCGTAACTGTCTCTCGGCGCCTTTTATTCCCGAATATTTTCTTCTTGGACATTCTAGTTGTGTTTGGACGTGAGAAGTTTAAAATTAATATGAACTCTTCTTCAATTGCAGGTTTCTGAGAACTTGATTGGCATGTATTTGGATGATTATGAAGAAACACCTTGGGAAGCACTGAAGTACTTGGTAAGTAGTAGATAATAGCGATAATGAAGGTTCGAATTAATAAATGAATATAATGTGAAGTAAATATATCCACACCTGACAGTACAACAAAATACTCATGCATCTATAATTACAGTTAAAGAGATCTTTTGAAAAGCTCTAATATACAACGCTGAAACCTTTACCTTTAGGTACCTTTTTCACAAATGGCCTAGGGCTGGATTTTGGCTGGATTTGAATTATATTTAGTTCCTCAAAACGAACATTCGGATTGGGTTCGAACAAATGTGAACGCAATCAGTCTTGCTTTACGGACGCCTCAAGTGGCGTCTGTTCAAATGGTCTAGTTTGTTTCACTGTAACACAGTATGATAAAAACTTAATTAATTTGGGTCGACAAGTCCTATCAAAGTCCGTGCTAGTTCGCAGGTGCGATCACACCATGTCACTTCCCATTATGTATAAGCAGGAATAAATATGGAGATGATGAAGACTGATGTTATACTTAAGATCGTGTTTGGCTATTTTCACGTTGTTTTAGAGAACGAAATTTTGGACTTCATCTCCTAATTCTGACCAAAACTCGTTCACCAACCGACCAAGGCGCATTACCCTCCAACTTGCATTTTATAGATCCGACTGTTGCGAACTTGTTACGGTGTATCATTACATCAAATTTCGATTAGGTTTAAATTAACAACCACTTCCAAAATGACACGCCCTAAATAGTACTTGTACATTTACTTGTCAGATCGTTCAGTGATGTTGTGCATATACAACAAGAGCAAAAAAATGTTCCTAAATTAAGGGCAACTTGCTATGAGTTGTGTCCCATTTAACAAAGTAAAATTATTTTGTATAGGTTGCTGGTGTTAATTATGGTGGTCACGTGACGGATGACTTTGACAGACGATTGCTCATGACATACATTAATGATTTCTTCTGTGACGCATGTTTGGATACTCCATACTTCAAGTAAGATTATCTTTGTTTTTAAATAGAGATTTAACTGTTGTTATGTTCAGTTTAGTGTGTGGAGCAAGGATAGTTTCATTGCTAGTAATATTTAATACTGTGACATGTGCATGAACAACATGTGAACAACAATATACTTTTGGTGCCGCTTGGTTTAGCATGGCAGACGCACATGAAGGTTATATTCCCATGAACAAATATGTTCTCTCTGATCTTGTTCCCAATCACAAGCCTATCCTTAAAGTATTGCGCACGAAATACGAGGAAATGACCACATGAAAACGAGGCCATTAGGGCAAGTGTGCAATAAACAGTCTATTCTGACAAAAGAGAATAACAAGAAATTACTAAGACCTTTTTTGTAAATCTAGACTGTCAACATTACCGACATACTACATCCCAAAAGATGGTACACTACAATCATACAGGGTAAGTACATATAACTGCATTTTATGTATATATATATATATATATATATATATATATATATATATATATATATATATATATATATATATATATATATATATATATATATATATATATATATATATATATATATATTTGCATGAGCTGCTGTTTTGTTTAACTTTACCACAAACATATACTTTGAATATCGCAACCAATCTGCTGAAAACCTGCGGAATTTTAATATAAATCATTAGCTGCCTGAAGTGGTCCAGTCTCGAAGATTGAAAATGTGATCAATGAGTTTATTCTTGTGTTATTAAATAGGAATATATCAGCATGTTACCTAACATCGATCATCCTGAAGCATTTGGACAACATCCTAATGCTGATATTGCAAGTCAGATTATTGAAACAAAGTTTGTATATTGATGCTGATTGTTAATTTGTATATTGTAATTTGTATATTGTAATTTGTATATTGTAATTTGTATATTGATGCTGATTGTTAATTTGTATATTGTAATTTGTATATTGATGCTGATTGTTAATTTGTATATATTGTATATTGATGCTGATTGTTAATTTGTATATTGTATATTCATGTTGACTGTTAATTTGTATATTGTATATTGTATTATTGATGTTGATTGTTAATTTGTAGTTGTATATTGATGCTGATTGTTAATTTGTATATTGTATATTCATGTTGACTGTTAATTTGTATATTGTATTATTGATGTTGATTGTTAATTTGTAGTTGTATATTGATGCTGATTGTTAATTTATACGCCCTATATTTTTCTACAAACACACACTAAGTCTTATAATTGTTACATTGACAACCAATGCCTGATTAAAATGTCTATTGCAACTATTATGACTTCAGGTAAAGTTCATGAATCATGGTAAACTTCCTTTGACACCCCAACCCCAGATGTTTCGCAACATCCCTTCATGCATGTGCAGCTTTACAATGCAATTTAGCTACTTTTGGTTCACGTGGGTGGCTTAAATACACAGGCGGAGCCGTTCTGTGTTGTGTTGACAAAAACCTCTTGCTAAATCAGTTCTGTCACGTTTCAAGTCGGCAACATTTTATTTGTGCATGCATTTATAGTTGTGTTGTTTAGTTTGCGGTTTAATAGTAAGTATATCAGTAAGTTTCTTGTGTCAGTGAATATTGTAAGATAAAATTTTGTCTCTAGAAACCTCTTTGATACACTGCTATCTCTTCAACCACAAGTTGCTTCCGTTGGTGGTGCTGGTCAAACAAGAGAACAGAAGGTGTGACCTTTATGTGTTTTGTCTTTTCTGTATAAAAACTAAAAAGATTGGGAGACATTCGTGACCTATACTATATAGTATGGCATTTTTTATTGAAATATCGCGTGATATTGCCATATATTTGCATTTAATACAAGCATGCAGAATCGACGAAGATTATATAAACACAGATGTAAATGCTAGCTTGTCAGACATTAAGAAAGTATGAAAGTTGGTGTGAGATGCTATACCCAGACTTTACTACCTTTTGCAAAGAAACTATAGAAACATTTACACTAGGGCACTAGAACTTAATGAGATTCTACTTTAACCGTATATAGTAGCTTTAGTATGTACATATATACATATGTGTTAATATATTGACCGGGTGTCCCCCACTGTTTGATTTCATGGAACATAAAAGCTATCGCAATGAACTATTAAAGATCATTGCATTTAGAAAGGACTAACTTATAGATTTTGATATATAGCACTTGAATTTACATGCAATATTGACTGCGCTATTGATGTTTGAACGTTGAACTACTGTTTTTGAAAATGTTAAAAATTAGCATAAAACAACCTTATAATTACCGATGTAGTTATATACTTGCTAAATAATAAATATTTTTAATTTGTTTGTATCTCGCTCAATATTGCATGTAAATTCAAGTGCTATATATCAAAATCTAAGAATCTTTGAATGCAATGATCCTGATTTTATCACGATATTTTATGGCTTTTACGTTACATGAAATCAAACAGTGTCCATTTTTTGGGGGGACACCCGAAGGCGAGGTGATTACCGGTGAATAAAACCCGAGATGAAGTCGAGTTTTTTATTCACGATAATCACCGAGCCTGAGGTAAATAATTGTTTTAGTATAATTTCATAGGTGAATACACATTTTTCGTCATTTAATTGACAAAACGTCTTCGGCCGCCGTTTCGAAAATCGCTTAGGTGATTATCGCGTTATAATCACCTCAACGGCAACCAATCAGCGTGGAGAATAATCACCTATGTAATTATACTAATAAGTTGTATTGTAAAATTGAGAAGAGCCACTCTGTGGATATGTTCTTCACTATTAGTTGGCGGTAGACAGTAATGATTAAGCACTTTATAGTAGCATTGCACTTCGTATAATAGTATTGTGTATCAGATTATACAGCCACAAGTTTTTTGTGAAGCATTTACAGGCAATATTTCGACGTTCATGAATTATTAACGAATTCTACAAGAATTTCGTACGTATATGTTTCTTGTTTTTTGTAGGTGTTAGATCTTGCAGCTGATGTATTGAAAAGAGTGCCAGAAGAAATTGATTATGAACAAACAGCAAAGATCATGGCTGATGATCCATCTCCACTTAATGTTGTCTTGTTGCAAGAGGTAAGATCCAACCTCGCAAGCCAGGATTTTTACAAGAGCCTGGGAACGAGGTTTGGTAAGATCATACATGAACCTCAGAACATCATATCGTTGATTGAAATGGTTAAGGTTTATTTAGTTTATTATAACTCTCAGCGCGAATACCTCAAGGGAACGCACGGTGTTTGTCGTAGACATTAGGGAGCTTAAGCATGTAGGACGGCAACACGACGACGACAGCAACCAATACAATGAGTCAATGAAAAGTGAATAAATAATTAAAGTCCCAGGGGAGATTCAGACGTGGTCGTAGCTCTGTTTACAACGGCAAATCACAGATTTTCACGTCTTTTGTACAACGCCTGCATTTCAAGACGTGCCAAGTGCAACTTAAATTCCGTTCAGTAGAACTCTTCCCAAACATAAAGCCAATGTTTTCAACTTCTTATACTGTATTAAATTCATACGAATTATAATATACGACAGTTATCTTTACTATAATTTATTTGAAGGAATTTGTTTTGGCCGTCGTCATCGTGTTGCCGTCCTACATGCTTAAGCTCGCTAATACTGTTTAGGGACGGGTCATTAATTATAGCAGGGGGTGGCGCCGAAGAGAAAAGGGTTGGGCAAACAAAATTTTGAGTGAGTAAAACAAGGTTGAGTTATTAAAAAAACAAAATAACTCAAGGGTTGGGTAATAAAAATTTATTGTTATTTCAAAAGCAATCAACTAAAAAGACTAAAAAGCAATCAACAATCATATGTCAACACAATATGCAAATCAATCAGAATTACTGTCTTAAGCAAATTTCCGATTTGTCAGGAGGCAAACGGTGTATCCAAAGAACAGTACAGTCTACTACAGCGAGTTAAGAAGATTTACGATGGAGAACGTTTCCATTGTGCTTTTTGCGCTTGGACTGAGGATTAGAGTCTCGAAGAACAACCTTATATGAATTATCTGTATATATTACATAACCACTAACAATTGCTTGAAAGCAATTGTTAGTGGTTATGTAATATATACAGCATGCTTGGCCATGGTGTATATGACAAACACGAACGGATTACGAGTGATAGTATTTCTAATGAACATGCACACGATTAACGTGTACGTATTCTTCAATCATGGTGTCAAAGACACCGAATGAATTACATGAAGCACATAGTACTCAGCATCTTCCCCCAGGAAAAATTAAAGAAAACTTCCTTGCTTTTTGTCATTTTTGAATAACTTGCGGACGGATGAATCTCTTGAAACGTGTATCAATTGAACCTGGATTAGCACCTACATTTTCTTTCTACTATTTTCCTTAGATATCTCGTTATAACAAACTTCTTGCAACAATCAAGTCATCACTTATTGAACTAGAACGTGGTATTAAAGGTCTCGTGGTCATGTCGTCTGATTTGGAAGAGACATTTAATTGTATTTATGATGTTCGTGTTCCACCTCTTTGGGGAAAGGTATGTCCATTGCATGCACTTCAGCCTGGCAGCTGCGTGACGTTTCTACAGTTTCTACGAGAACAACTATTTTAGTTTTATAAACTGTTGTGAGTCTCGATATGTTACCCTTTTAATCTAAATGATCAAAAATAAACCTCAGAAGATACAAACAAAACACACTGCTTTTATACCAAAGCTACCACCAAATAATTAACCAATCAACCGCGAACCTTTATATTTAGGTCCCTGTTTGATTTTAGACGCGTGTCACTAGGCCCAGTTGAATACTCGTGCTGCAGGGTTGCAATGGAAGTAGAAAATGCAATGAGCTCGGATGTATGGATATAGACCCATTGCACTGACGTCACAAATCCTTAGAGTATCCTCTAGATGCTCCCTAACAATATCTGTTCGGGTACAACAACCACATACATGCAAAAATTAACCATTTTAATACAAAATTATTATAAAGTTTCACAAAATTTGCTTTGTTTACAAAGGTTATATTATGCATAAATTGCTAATTTGTCCTCCAAATGCATCGTCACAGATGCTGTGACGTCATGTGCAATGGGTCTGTTCTGGATATTTTGCATCATTTGCTGATTTGCATGCACTTTACATAGTTAAAGCTCTGTAAAGCTATTGTTAAAGGGTTTTTGCATGGATGGAAATTTCGAGCGGAAGGCTATATACAATTTCAGACATCACCAGAAGCAGCTTTATATATAGGCCCTCTGACAGGTTGCATTTTTCCCAGCTGCTTCTGGTTAGGTATGAAATTGTATGTAATCTTCCGCTCAACATTTTTACCTATTGAAAAAGCTTAGTTTAACTGTTATAGTTCTATCGAGCGAGATGCCCAAAAATCTCTATATATTTACCCAAAAAACTATTGTTTTACTATTCCTGTAAGGCTATATAAAGATTTTATTTTACAGGCGTATCCCTCGAATAAAGCTCTAGCAAACTGGACACGTGATCTGGTCCATCGTGTGGATCAATTTGCTAAGTGGGCAAGTACAGCTCATCAACCAGTCATATTTTGGCTCTCGGGATTTACATTTCCTACTGGATTTTTGACTGCTGTATTACAAACATCCGCAAGACAGAATAACATCTCAGTCGATACTTTGTCATGGGAATTTACAGTTTCTACTGTGGATGATAGCAACATAACTCAGTATCCAAAGGTTAGATAAAATTATTATGACCATATTATTGTCTAAGACTTTTCTTGGATTTCACGGCAGTCACTCAATCTAAACAGAAAACATAAACTGGTGATCATGGCATGGCTGTCATGAAATTCAGCAAAATATACGACCAACGCTGAACCCCAAAGTTTTAGATTTTCATCATTGTTGTGTTCTAATGTTCCTGACTCCAATCAAAGGCCATGTATGTTGCACGAGGCATTTTCCCTGCAACATACAACGAAGTTTCGGACAAAGAGCACTGTTAAACAGAAATGACAGAATGGTAGGCGAAGTTGCATGGAAAATTTCCCCTACCTCGATATCTTTATATTAGTTTTCCTGGTTTTCGGTTTATAGTTCTTTACGGATATGGTAGATGGTAGCAAAACCTAAGGTGGGAAATTTTCGTTTCTATCGGTAGTGACTAACCAGAATGTCGAATACGAAATTTTTATTGGTCGTGGTTTTATAGGTAGAGTTACGAGGCAGTAGATGCCTAAAATGGTGTTCAAATTCAGAAATGTTGACACTGATTTGACTCTATTTACTGGCCACCAAATAAAAGACTACAACATACAGTAAAATTAACTGATTATTTTCTCACTATGATAACTATTGATAGTAAACAACAATGGACTTTATTGTTTTTTATTGGGCAAACCCCAGTAGTCTCGTTTCCATATTTGCTTGTTTTAGCATGGTAGATGCAAATGAAGGTTATAGCCTCATGTTCCGTGCACGAATAGGTTGTTCTTTGATCTTGAACCCAATCACAGTTCACAAGCTAGCCTATCCCTATAACCTTATTACGAAACGTGACGAAATAACCACATGAAAACGAGGCCATTAGGGCAAGAGTGCAATAAACAGTACAGTCTTTTAAATTACAAAAGTGTAATGAAATTCTCTAACAGCGAAATAGATAGCATGAAAATCGTATGGCTGTAAAATTTCTGAAGCTGTCATAATAGCCATACGATATATGCATGTGGGTTTCACCTATATACTGAAGTTTGGGTGTCAGTGTAGTGCATGTACATGTAGGTAGTAAAACACAATGTGTTTCACCCAACCAGTTTGTTCTTATATATTTTAATTGTTACTGTAGGATGGAGTATGGGTTCGTGGTTTATATCTTGAAGGTGCAGGTTGGGATAAGAAAAACGCTGCTCTAATTGAGGCAGATCCTATGCAGTTGGTATGTCCAATACCAACTATACATTTTAAACCTGTGGAAAATAAGAAGAAAACTGGTAAAGGTAAGGCTAGATTTATTACATAGTGAAAAAAACGTTATTATATGGAGCATAGGTGCAAAGCAATCCAATCAAAGTTTTTAGAAACTATTGTGGAGAGCAGACCCCAACTTTACGAAAATTACGAGTCCTTTCCACTTAATTTTGAGTTAATTCTTCCATTTTAATGTTGTTTTTGCAACGTGCGTAAAGTAAGGCATTAATATGACGCATGAAACTTGCCAAAAATGTTGGTCATATGCATGGGAGGAAGTTTTAGTACGCTGTTTTTTACAACTATACATCGCTCCCACGAGTTTCAATGAGGAGAAATGACGTGTATTTGTGTAAAATGTCATTTTCCAAATTTATTTATAGGAATATACTCGTGCCCATGCTACTATTATCCTAACCGCGCTGGTACATCAGATCGTGCTTCATATATTGTAAGTGTTGACATGAAATCTGGTGCGATGATGGCTGATCATTGGGTCAAACGAGGAACAGCTTTACTTATGAGTTTGGACTATTGAGCCTTATTGTTTTCATACGTACCAATATATATACAGTTTAATATATTTTATATTGTAAATGCTTAACATATTAAGTTTAATTTTGTACATTTTCAATCTTTAAACAAGTAAAAACTTTGAAACATTTCTTTTTTGTTAAAACGTCTTTAATATGAGTGAATTCATTTGATATTGCTCTCGGACAACCGGTGAAGAAGCGCTGCTCCCGAATATTCCATTTTTCTTTATATAATCCACAAACAATTACTCCTTCAAAAATGACAAGAATAATTTCATGATTTTCATCGACAAATTCACAAGTCATCATCAGTGGCTTGCTAGCCTGCGCCGTACCTTTCATCCTCACTATAAAGGCTAGTTTCCACTCAGTTTCTAGTTTCCACTAGTTCAGGCTTTGTCTTGTGAGCTCTGGGTTGGAACTAATGACTTTAACACAAAGAAAAATTTTTTTGTCCGTTCCAATCCACGGATAATTGTCCTGAGTGGAAACTAGCCTTAAGACGTAAGCACAAGCAAGCGGAACGCTTTCATGCTTGTGTTGTTCTCACTGTAGCCTGCGTAGCAGAGAACGGGAAGATTGAAATTCAATCTTCCGTTCTCTCGTGCCCGCGAATACCGCCTGCTACGCAGGCTATTCTCACTGTATCCTCACCTATGGTCCTCACCGGCAACGCAAGATAAAGCGCAAGCATTAAGCAACAACATAAGCATAAGGAAAAGAACGCAATATTACAAATTTGCAATTGGTGATTTAAAAAGACAACTTGCGCTTTGTCACAGTCACCTATTTTTGTCCTCCATTACCTGTCCTCCATGTCTCCAAATCGTAGCAATATGCCTATAGAAAGATTTTGTTGTCAGGGCTCGGAAAAAAAATATATCAAACATCTCCACGTAGCGGCGGAAAAGGGGACCAGATTTGCCTGGAATTGAAATCACTTAAATTAACATAGTCGAACTGCCTGGCGATGGAAAAAGATCACGCTTTTTAACCACGACTTAATCTATTTTTAGGGCGGCTTAGCCCCCTGTAAAACTGTGACGGGTCCATGCTAAAACCTCCCAGTTTAAATGCACTTAATTATTTAATTGGTGTAAAAAACTTTCATTGACCATTTGACCACAATCTTCATCAAGAATCTTCATATTACTGGTTACTTAAACGTCCAAAGATATGAACCTTCGAGCTCGTTAGACATTCAGTATGTCACATGACCTTATTATATCATACACTTTTCCGTATTAATTCTTGTTGGTCGTAGGTCGTTAATCCTGCTTGTCGTCCAAAAGTTGAGTGCTGCGATATAAAGTACTACAATAATGTAAATATTTGCAAAACTTAGAGGAAGTCGAAAGCTAGGCAATTTAAAAGCGCAACAAAAACAATATGATCCAACATGCAACACGATATTGCGAATTTGGGCCATTACAGTACATGATATTATAGATGACTAATAAACCCAACAGACATACTAATTTGACTACAAATCCTGATAACGAAATTGTTTTGATTTTCTGATCTTAATTTATGCATGATATAAGACATCTCTTTGTACATGTAAACAATGAATAAATTTCACATGCATCAGTAATTCTCATCGAGATATTTCTGGATCAGTGATACATGCGTGCCAAAATAAAATTAGCGGGAAAAAATGTTCGGGTGAAGAGTAGTCTGAATTGAGTTACGGTATGTAAACCATACCACCTCGCTTATTGCACTTACTAAGCTGGTCGTGGCACTTCCCAACTTTGACAAGGTTACATAGCATCTACCCTACGTGAACAGGGTATCATGTGCCATAACCTGCCAGGGATGTTTCTTGTGAACCACCACCTCACATTAGGAGGGTGCCCTGCTAGAGCGTGGTTGACCTTTGTCTCAGACCTTCCCAAGGGCAATTGCAGGAGTCCTAGAACTCCACGTTTGTAACCCTTAAAGCGAGCATTTCACCCGGACATTATTCTTAGGTTTAATCATCGTATTTAACTAATTCACCTTCCGTTCGTCGTATGATTGTGGGAGAGCCAGTTGAATAACTGTGTACCACGCATGCTCAGGTTACACTAAGAACTTTGAACTGTACCAAGAATTTTCTTTCTAGTCCACTCTATCATGTCCTGAAATTTCCTTGAAGGGCATGCAAATCCGGATCATACTTCCTAAGGGTCACTGTACAGAAGAAGGTACAGGAATATTTATGTTTTGTACTTTTGTACTGGCCAGGTTATAGGTATTAACTTGGTTAGAGGCCTCAAAATATGGTATTGAAGCAGGGCCGGCGCTAAAGGCCCCCCCCCCAGTCGTAATGTAGTCGACAAAATATTGAATCCCAGTCGGCAAAACATGGATTTGGAGATGAAGAAAAAATTAAAATATTTGAGTGACACCGATTTTAGCATGAATAAATGACGAGAGGTCCAATTAATTGGTAATATACAGCTTATCTTGGTCAATATTTTTATCTGAAATAATTTTCAATATACGAAAATTTAATACCCACAGATCCACTAACGTTCCATCCTACAGTAGTAAGTAGTAACGATCGATTTCCTTAAACCTCTGCTCCCATTTTCTTTCCCAAATATTTTTAATCATAACTTTTATAAACTGCGAGCAAGACGTATGTAATTGAACGAGTATCATCGATGTAACTAAGACAAGTTCCAGCCATGCAGGTTCAGCTTATAGTCAGGCAGATAGAGGATCAAAATTATGGAAAACTTACTTTATCGTGGGACAATTTCATTTTGCCTTCATATTGTGCGCTGAAGGCTAGTAACTTACGTTTCTGTATGTCGGCCGCGTTAAATTTTCTTGTGGGCTCCTGCCGACACGTTTTTCTTCGAATTTTGTATTAAAAAAATTTCTGATACATTTCTAATACAAATGACTTGCATCAATAGAAAGCTAACACAAAACTACATATAAGACATTTAAATGGTTAGCTGGGATTTTCGAGCGGTTTTCGAGTTTTTGCCGTTTCAAATGTGAAAAATAAGCCAAAATCTAGCAAAATTCCTGGGTACTAGTCTGAAAACACACATTCAACAGCTCTTATCTCAAGAAGAACTTGAAAACCCCGGGTAATCGTTTAAATGACTTATATGTAGTTTTTTGCAAGCTTTCAAATGATGTAAGTCATTTGTGTTAGACATGTATTTCAATTTCGCATTTTCTAACTGTAATAGAGTTTAATACAAAATTCGAAGAAAAACGTGTCGGCAGGAGCCCACAAGAAATTTTAACGCGGCCAACATACACAAACGTACTTACTAGCCTCCAGGGCACAATATGAAGGCAAAATGGAATTGTCCCACGATAAAGTAAGTTTTTTCCTTCAATTTTCAATATCTGGTAGTCACGGCCGTAGAATCTAGAACTAATTCATTAGTCAACCAAATCGGCGTTTCAGTTGCGGTATTGCAGGCAGGGTTTCAGTTCGAGCCGCGTTGGCTTTTGTTGGGCCTCTGCTCGAATTAAACGTCGAGAAGTTTGTACTCTTCAATGATAGTTGAGTGGCTTACCACAAAGGTTTTATATATCCGATGAGTTTTTTTACACGTCACTGGAATCCAAGAAAAATATTGCGCGCATGCAGTGACGAGAGCTGGAATAGCTGTTGAGTGTTGGGCCTGTTGACGAACCGAAAACCCAACACATATTTAATATAATATCATACTATACCACCGAATCATGAGTCGGTCGTTTGGCAAATGCCTATAAATGAGAACAATTCAGTCAAGGTAAATATTATTAGGAAAAGAGAAATTAGAAAAATTACATTACATGTAAACTTTCTTGAAGTTAAGTTATTTTAGCGTAGTCTTGAAGCGAGTGGAAAATTTAATTTCCTTTGCCGATATCTCTATATCCAAATCTACATCATGTTCTGTCCTAAAAAAACTCTGCAGTGCCTCCTTAAATGGAACTTTTCTCACATTCTTGTTGGCTTTAATCACTGATTCACTGTCACGTGACTGTATTCTGTGTTCTGATCGTGGTAAACCGCAGCTGCAGCGAAAGATCGCGAATATGAGCTTAAAATACTGAGATATTTTTCATTATTTGTGATTTCCTCGATACCTCACTGCTCTAACTTGAAGTGGAACTTATTTGCTGGTCGCAAAGTACTGTAAACTTTTCAATATAATCGCGATTCCTTATGATGCCTGTACGCAAAGAAGGTCAGTTGGCAGACATATATACGCTAATTCGGCTAGTCAAATGCATTTTTCCTTCAATACAACTGGTTTGCTTTGCATTGATTAAGAATTGATATCATATTGAAATCTTTTTGTTTACAATCTTCAGATGCTGAACGGGCTCTACAGCTCCTCGAGGGCTATCATGCCAAGTTGACAAAGCCGCAGGATCAGGCTTTGCGAAGCGCCATTGAGCGAGTTATAAGAATATTTCAAAGCAATCTATTTCATTCTTTACTAGGTATGTATATAAGAATAGGTAGCCGAGATCATAGTTTATACGTTGTAGTAAATAACGACTGCTATATAGCCGCTTTTTATTGATTGGATACGATCGCGTCTGTTTACAATTTTACCTGTTCACAGACTTTAATAATAGTCGATTCTACACGTCTACAGAGCACAATTATATTCAGGACTGAAAACTATAAACAAAGTTAAACATACAATGTATGGCTATTTCTTTTTATTCAAACTTCCTATGTAGTAAAGTATTTTTATAGGACTTATAGTGCTATCTAAGTAGTTGTCAACTCGCATATTTTATGAATTTTGCAGACATACAAGAATACTATGAAACATTGTTAACGCTTGTTGACGAGGCAAAACCTTTAGATGAAATTGAAATGGAAAGTCGTGAAGTAGCTAAGAAATGGGAAAACGTTCCCTCAACTTACAATGGAGTACAGGTAGGGAGTTTAAAGAAATGTTTGAGTTAAAAGGACACTGTAGTAGCCTCAGAAACAAAGGCTGTCTAGCCAGTAGCCATTACAAGAAAATGTTGGGCGTTTTCC